TGTAGCCTTAGGGGCAATTCTTAATCAGGGTCCAATCGGTAGTGATTTGCCAGTAGCTTATGCGTCACGAACCTTAAATGATTCGGAAAGAAATTACAGCACTACCGAAAAAGAGTTGTTAGCTATAGTGTGGGCTACCAAATATTTCAGACCTTATCTCTATGTTCAGACCTTCAATATTATAACAGATCACAAACCCCTCCAGTACCTTTATTCATTAAAGGAAAACGCCTCCTCAAAATTAATGAGATGGAAAATGAAACGACGAATATAATTTCAAAATCATCTATAAAAAACGCAAACTCAATACAAATGTTGACGCTCTTTCCAGAATTGAAATTCATACTAAGGAAACTAACGATTTTTGGGAACAACTCGATGACATCCTTGGAGAAGCCTCCAACTATCAGAATCAAAGAATTACCTTTGTAGATCAAAATTTAAACTCACCTCCTATAAGACAAGCTAATCCAAACTCACCACTGACAATTCAAGATATTAGCTACCCCAATTTAAATCCTGAACAAGACGATATCTCAATGTTTGTCAACTTGGACAACGAAACAGATCCACCTGACTGCCAGGATTTTTCTACCGTTGACAATACAAATACTGGCAAAGATACAATCAATGAAACAGAACAAACTGACTACCAAGAACTTCCTTTTGTTATTGACAAAACTAATACTAACGAAGACGAAATTGAAAAGATGATGAAACCCGGCACTCTAATAATCAACACCCGGTTGTTACAATTCCTATATCAGACCAACCATTGAACTTTGGCCAAAATCAGATCGTAATTAACACGGTCCTGCACTCTCCCGCCAAACCGAAAATCATCATTTTATTTGAGAGAAAACAGCGTTTATTAGTACAAATTTCAAAAAACAACCTTGAATCAGATGTTGTAAATTTTGTCTCGTACTATATATATTTCGAAGATCCTGACGTATACAAACCCTTCTTAGGCGCTTTACAAAAGTATTTTAAATGTGTTTAAGTTTAAAAGGTGTCTTGAAAAACTTCTAGACATAATTATTAATGATGAAATTAAAAATTTAATACAAAATTATCATGAGGGGAAATCAAATCATCGCGGGATCGATGAAACCTATTCTCGCTTAAAATGAAAGTACTATTGGCCAAATTTGAAAAGTTCCGTTCAGTCATACATAAATGACTGCGAAATCTGTGAACATGTCAAATACGAGAGAGCCCTGTTACAGCGCAAATGAATATCACTCCCACTGCTGTAAAGCCATTTGAAATAATTCACATGGACACATACACATTTGAAAAATCTAAATTTTTGACCATTATCGATAGTTTTTCAAACTACGTTCAAGCTTACCATCTCAATTCAATGACAGGTACCGAAGTAGCTGACAACCTTATCCGATACTTTTTCCATCATTGATTCCCGACACAAATTATTACTGACAATGGCACCGAGTTTAAAAACTCAGTCATATCCGAGTTATTAGGTTTACAAGGAATCGAAATACATTTCTGCTCCGCGAACCATCCCCAGTCAAATGGCGTGGTCAAAAGATTTCATTCGACAATATCTGAGCAACTCCGAATTTTAAACACTCAAGGCTTTCAAAAAACACTGTCAAAATGAAAATGATATACGCAATCTTAGCAAAAAAAAAAAACTCTGTTTATTCTGTGACTAAATTAAAACCCATCGATGTCATAAATGGCCATCTCAGTGAAAAAGATAAATTTGACATCAGCTTAGACCAAATTTTGTTGAATGATTATGTAGAACAACACAAAGCACGCAGTAAGCTGTTATATTCCAAAATTAACGAGGCGCTTGTTCAAAATAAATAAAAAGCCATTGAAAAGGCAGACAGAGCTCGAGATAGTCCAAAAATATTTCAACCAGGTCAGAAAGCATTCGTTAAGAAAAATATACGTCAAAAAAATGCAAATAAATTCCAAAAATCATGTACACTAACAGCACTGGTAAAAAGACCGCTACTACTGATAAACACAACATATCGATAACTTGAAGCGACCCCTTCGCAAACCATATTCATTTAGCAACTAAATGTATGTCTCCAAGTACTACAAACATACATGTAGGTACTATTCATCTTCAGATTCCTGCAAGTAACGGTTGGACTTCAGGATAGCATAACTATACGTAACCTCGACAATAATCCAGGACTAGTTCCCATGGAAATTGGTGGAGCAAAAGTAAAGGACTATGACTTTTCACTCATTCATTATTATGATATGAATCCCACCTTTTCTGAAATTGAAAAATTATCGATTTCCTCCTCACGTATAGCAGAAACCATTTCTTCAAATTTAAGTGTCACTACATATTTGTCCAATTATTTCAGAATATTAAAATTTGTTCAGGGACAGGTAGAACAAAAGTTACATAATATATTTCCCCATGCAAAGCAAAGAAAAAAAACATTTAAATGGCATTGGGTCGATATTCAAATCAATAACTAGAAACCTTGCCGCCAATGATGGCGAACGTTTCGAAAATCTAATTCAAGAGCTTCAAAATAATCAAAGAGAATTGACTAACAGTGTCACACAGAATAATGCCCTGTCAGTGTCTCTTATTGATAAGTGTAATAAAACTGTTCAGCAAGTCTGTCATATATACAATTGTTCATCGGGCTACAATCGATTCAGATCAGCATAAATTCATAGTAGACACAGTATCTCAAATTATGAACAGCTACAAAGTAATACAAAGTAAAGTCAATATTACAAGACGTTGAAAATTCAATAATTTTTGCACGTCTTGGAGCAATTCACTCTAGCATTATTACAACCGAAGAAATTTTTTGAGAACTGAAACTATTGAGCTCAAGATTAGGCGAGAAAAAATTTGCGATCCAGTTTTACTAGATAACATACCAACTTTTGAAAAAAGAATCAAAATCTCCAGTTATTCTGTGGGCAACAAAATTACATTCGTTTTATCACTCCCAATCTCATACTATGAGTCATTTAATTTATATCATCTCTTTCCAATCTCGATATATTTTGAAGGTCAATTTAAGACTATCGTTCCAAAGGAGCCTTATTTGGAAAAAAATTAATTGCACTTTGCACTTTTTGACGACATTTGTACTGAAATCCTCCTAAAAAGTTTCTCTGCGAGAAGACCAACGTGCAAGACATCAATGGTCCGTTACCCTGTGAACTTGAACTATTCGATGGAAGAAGCGCCCCTGCATGTGCCCAAACTCCACTGATAATCAATTAGCCAAGTATCGGACGAATCCAACCGACTAATCAATGGGTATTGATCCTGCCACTACCAGAAGTTATCAAAATGGAATGCCACGAAGAAATGCAACTGAAAACATTGACGGGAACTTATCTACTTCATATTCCTGTCAACTGCCAAGCCAAAATTAATCATGAAATCATCAAAAATGAACTCGAAACGATTGTCGCGGGCCAACCTATAATATTCCCGGATTTAAACCTGGACACTAAAGGCGATATCACATAAACAAATTTCAGTCTGCATCTAGAAAAAATTAAGCTGGACGAGTTAAGTAAAATCAAGTCAAACATTATCAACTACAAACAGAACTTCAAGAAACCTGCAGACTTTTTTATACCCAGTGCCTGGACACTGATAATACAGGGTTACTTCGAAGTTGAGTCATTTATTTTAACAGTGAGTAGATCTGATCAAAATAAGTGTTTTTTTCCTTTACCATTTTTCTGGTAAAATTAAAGTAACAAAGTTATAGCCCTTTGGAAGTTTGAGTACCGCCCTGTCTCAATAATAATATCATGTGCTCGTGTTTGGCAACAACGGATATAATCCGCCTTATCGGTTCATCGCATCGGAAACAAAAAAGCGAAAGAATTTGGAACGATGTTTTTACAATTATTTTATTCAGTTCAGTTATACATACAGTCAGTGTCAGTCGGTAACGCGTGTGAATAGTGTCTGTTGCGTGACTCAAACGAAATAAAAAATGGCACATGTTTATGCGGATCGGTTTCTCAATCGAGTGCAACCAACCCCTCGTGCCTTTGTTAATGTAGTACATCGGGCTCGTGAATCAGGTGACTTAATACCTCACAGGGGACCTCACGATCAAATACAGGTCCGCACTGAAATACTTGTCGGGAGGATTCTTTATAAGACAAGGGAAAAATTTTTTTTTTATTTTTTTTTTATTTTTACACACATATTTTGGTTTATCTTCCTTCTACAATCATTATCTGAAAATTAATGACTCAACTTCAAAGTCACCCTGTATATGGATGTATATTACTCTTGGGTGTCTACACATTCTGGAAAACCATCTTGAAGAGGAGGAAGCTCAGAAATAGAAGTATTCAGCAACCAGAAGTCGAACTTCATCCTATCCAACTTCCGTGAAGAATTCTTCCCCAAAGTTGAATCGCAGGGGGGAGGAGTTATATCAGCCGTTCCTGCTGATAGGCCAGGTATACTGCCGACGATGCTACTAATTTCCTAGAAGACCTAAAGTCTACTTTATTGTTCTCAACACATTTTATAGTCAGTCAGATGCCTTTGTACTGTTAACATCATAATAACATTGTAATAATTTTGTAAAAATACATTTTTGAGTTTTGTATTTTCGAAAATAAACTTTTTAAAAAGCGATCTCGAGTCATCAATCTCATAACTCACGTAACATTAGTGGGCGTTCCTAGACTAGAAATCATTGTGGTCGATTGCAGGTTCGGTTATATATATAAAGTATATAGCATACATATATCATAACATGTAATGTTAGTGTGATGTCACCAAATGTATTCTATTTTATAGCACTACCTAAAATTTGTTTGAAGTTTGATAATCTAATATTATTACCAATTTTGACAAACATTCCTTGAAATAAATGTAGCGTTGCAGCTTCGATTCAAACTTTGCACAAATAAACTTAAGCTTAAAATGGTGCATATGGGCATTTCGGCATGGTATACTACACAAAAGTCATTTGAAAACTATTTAATATTATACTCACCCTGCTGCTTTCTAAATCCAAGCTATCCATCTTGAAAATAGTCTCACTGACGTCATTCTGACTTTTACTTAAGTCATCACTACTGTGTTTCGCGGAAGTTACTGATAAGGTCATGTCTTCAGAGTTCTCGACATCAATGTTACCTAAATTGGAAACATTATTATTTAATATTGTATTTTACGACATGATACGCAAACACTTTATGAAAAATATGCGAAGAAAATCACGAAAGAAGAGTCACTGCAATGTCTGCATTTTTCTAACAATGATTTTAATGAATAACCAGGAATTAATAGCACAAGAGAAAATGTCCCACTTTTTGTTTACAAGTGCACGGGTTTCTTAGTCAGAGGTGACACGGTGCGGTATATCTTTAAAGTTTGCCAGTCGCCTTCATAGACCTTGTCTTTGTGTTTTTGAATGGGTAAATATTCAGAAATTACTAAACTCCCCACCATAGAGTATTACAGGAGGTTAATAGTGATGAAGACTTACCTACTTTCAAAAAAAACACATTCTATAGTTTACTGAAAGAACTTCATTTTTAGTATATAAAACGGGTCAGAAAGCCAAGAGATTATTTTATGGAGAAGAAATTATTTAAAATCAATAAAGAAATACCGTGACCAAGGCAGGAAGATTTATTACTTGGCTGAAACTTGGATAAATGCAGGATATACAAAACCTAAAGTATGGGCTGACTCCACAATTAAATCAGCAAGACAAGCCTGCTTAGATGGACTAAACACTCGCCTAAAGAATCCGTCAGGTACGTGTATCTAACCAATTCGTCATTTATGTTGTAAAAATGGTGTTAAGCAGACTGAATCTATGAGCCCACGCTGAAAACTTAGCTACAGTAAACTTAGCTATATCTGGTAGATTTGGAACCAACACCTGTTAGATACGTTGCTTGTATTATTATTAGTTTTCTTGAATACTATATGAAATAATTATTTCCAGGAAAAGGGAAACGATTTGTTATCTGTCACATTGGCAGTGAAGATGGCTTTATGCTAGCATGAAGAATTGGACAAGAGTTCATTTGAACGATGGTTTGAAGAAACGCTCCCAAAGCTTGACGACAAAGCCGTCATTGTACTTGATAATGCTGCATACCACAATAGAAAACCAGAAAAAATTCTCACAATGTCCACAAGAAAGACATAAATTCAACAATGGCTCCTATCAAAAGTCATTAGTTGCAATGAAAATATAGTCAAAGCAGATGTGGGATCTGGACAATATGATCGATATTCAAATTGAACCTGTAATAATTAATATTAACCATTCGGACGATGATTCAAGTACTTCCAGCGAATAAAAAATTGTGAAAAGTATGTGCACTTCTTTCTATTGAAATAATCACTTATTTTGTTAGATTATTCTAAGACCATTGAGGAAAATACGGATCTGTACAATCTCGCTTTTGGGCATGTTATGTTTTGTCTGGGCGTAAATGGACTACGAATGGGGTGGTATAGTGAACGTGAAAGAATCATTAGAATATCCGATACATTTTGTTAGTGCTCTGATGGGTACATTTGCATAAATATTTTCTAATGTTCAACCTGCACATTGAGTAAAAATTAAACTTGGTAGACCCAGTTTAAACAAAAGTAAATAAGATAAAAAAATGCTTAATCTTTCACTACAAGTGATGAACAACAAATATATCCAAAAAGAATGATCTATTTGGCAATACCACGTGCAACTCTCGCCAATTAACACCATGTGGTTAAACGTCATTTTATCCATTCAAACTGGTTCGGCTAGTTGAAGGCTTTCAGTCATTACAATCCGACATTTATCGCTAGTGCGCTATAACAACTTGTGATGTCAGTGGTTACGGTTATGCGGTGGTTAGCTAAGCCACAGAACATTAAACAATTGTTTTATTCTGCGCATTTAGCTCGCTCTGTGCCCGTTCACACCATGTGGTAAGAGGTATACAGGCGCTTAGCGCAACTCTGACTGACTATGGTGTAAAAATGCTCATTGGTGACTTCCTCAATAACTCATCAACGTCATCATCAGTGTAGAACCATTTTTGTGTTTTTTTTCTAATTATGGTCGAACTGAGCCATGCGAGGCAAAATTTTAATAAAACAGTTTTTTAGTAGTATATCACTTGCGCATAATTATTTACCTAATTCAATGTGACGCTTGATAAAGTTCTTCTCGCGAATTTTGTTATCGTCATTGTCTGCAGTGTTTCTCCTTTTGGTATAATCATTTTCTTGATTTTCCAGTTCCAACTTAGAAACGTCAAAGCTACGTCTTCTACCCTAAAAATAGAAAGCAGTTGTGTCATTAAAATATTCAGGAATTATATAAGGTTCTTTTTTGGAATTTGAGGTCAAAATAGATACCTTTAGTTGTAGTATTTCAATTTCTACTAAATTAAAAAAGCCACTTTATTTTTGCGCTGGTTAGTTTGCATAATGAAACTGATGCACGAGTACTATTATATCTGAGCGTTGACATGACGGTTAAAAAGGTGGCGACTGACACCTTGGAAAAACATTTAGATGAAATGGTTGATACACAATTTTAAGGCTCATGAACAATTTGTAATATTGTAAAATAAAAAAAAATCAAAGCATTAGAGTACAGTTTCGTACTCTAACGATGAGAAATCTGGCGAACAAACTGGTCAGTCCGTAGAACCCATCGTCGGGTTGATCGTCAGACAGGCTATCGTCATATCAAGCACTTCAAGACAACTTCCAGCACCTTTTGAACTGAATTCTGGTATATATTAAATGTACCGCAATTTCGCAGTAGATAAAGATGATACTAACATCGAAATCTACGGTTATAAATACAAAGAGCTGCAAAATGAGGCAATATATGACCCTCCAGTCCATATTTATCTTTACAAGACAGTGGCCATCCCTGAAATTTTTAACTATCATTATTTCACAATAAAATATAGGATTCGTGTACAAATTTCATTATCATCGTTTTTTTTAAAACATCTGCTACTTGATATTCTGAAGGAATAGAAACCAAGTTAGTCAATATTTGCCACCTTTTTTATATAGTGAAATCTCACATCTACGTGTATATGTTTTAATCTCCTATTAAACTGATTTTTAACTAATCTGATCGCACTCTGATTGACCTCACTGATTAACACATTACCATTTTCACAAATCAGTTCTTCGATTGAACACTTCAAATACAATAGTCATTCTGAAGCTGCTATATATTCAGATTCAGTACTTGACAACCACACTATTGGTTGCTTCCTTGAGCATCATACACTAGGTCAACCACAGTAGATTACAACATATCCAGTAGTACTCTTCCTTGTTTCCAAATCACCAGCAAAGTCAGAGTCACTGTATGATAGTACTTCACGTCCATCAGAGTCTTTATAAAATTGTATTCCATAGTTTTCAGTCAGTTTCAAGTAGTGTAGCACTCTCTTCATTTTTTCTACATCACTGTTAGTGGGATTTTCCATTTTTCTGCTCCCGTAGCCAACAGCATATGCAATATCTGGTCTTGTGTTACTTGCACCATAAAGCTAACTTCCAATCAGCTCACGATAAGGATTTTTTTATTTACATGTTGATCTTTTTCTCCTTTATTAGTTTCCATAGGTGTTCTTACTGTTTTTGAATTCTCCTTAGGAAGCGATTCTAAAATATGCCTGATATATTTAGATTGTTCGAGAAAAATTCCATTAGAAACTTTTAGTATTCCCATGCCTAAAAAAGTAGCTGGACTGTCATCGAAACTATTTCAAACTGTGTTTTCAATAATTATTCCATTTTTTCTTCATCTGATCTAATCAATCATCCATCATCAACATAAATAGCCAGTATTAGTGATCCAGTTTGATTTTTGAAAACACAATTTTCTGTTTTCGCTACTGTCAATCCTTTTGGTTTTAGATAATTTGTGAATTTTATGTTCCATTGTAATGGATGCTGCTTTAAATCATACAAATCTTTTCTTAAAAGACATACTTTGTGATCTTCAGTATATTTTACATCAAATTTCTTAATATGATAGTTATTTCTTGCAGCTATACCTAACACTATTCAACTGTCTCCGTTAATAGACTCTTTTCATGCACACTAATGTTAGCTACATATAGTAGTAGTAGTAGTAGTATGGATATCTTCTTGGTTTCTTCCTTCTAATACTTTTTGTACTATTCCTGATTATTACCTTTTCTTTTGTGAATTTTACAATTCCACCTTTTTCTGTTACAGCATTGACAGACAGCAGATTCTTACTTAATTCAGGAACATTACTCAAGATACAATTTTCATCTTCAATATTCCCTATTCCTAGGATTTTCATTTTTTCTTGCTTCAGTGCCACATTGATATTTGTTACAGTTTTTTTCATATAGTAATAATAATAATAATAATAATAATAATAATAATAATAATAATAAATGCCTTTATTTCCAAAAAGTTCTCAAAAAAAAAATCAGAAAGAGAAACATGAGTATTAACCAAAAAATAGGAAAATAAAAAAAAATACATAAAACAAATGTCGACTGTCTGAAAACCACAAGGGGGAGTTCACTATCTAGTGCTCTTCCACTCATCCCTTGAAATTTTAAGAAACATTATGCCAGTAAATACATCCATCAAGCATATATACTAAGTGACATATAAATCCGAACACCCAGTTTAAATGGTTTTATTTTAATAAAATTTTGTATAAGTACTTAATGAAGCATAATAACTAAATGATAAAAATTTCAAAATGATTGCACTGCTTTAAAGCCCTTTAATAATGTGTGGATGCACCCTGATGTGCTACGCATTCTCCAACGCGCCTAGGCATGCTTCTGATCAGGTGGTCAATGTCCTCCTGTGGTATCTCATTCCAAGCAACCACCAACTCCTCTCGAAGTGCTTCTAGAGTCTGAGGAGGACGTTGCAATTTGAGCAATCTCCTACCCATCATATCCCACACGTGCTCAATTGGGGATAAGTCGGGAGATCTTGGTGGCCATGGTAACAATGTGACATCATTATGTTGAAAGAAGTCTATTGTGACTCTTGCAACATGTGGTCGGGCATTATCTTGTTGGAAAGTTGGATCTGCCAGGGTGTCAAGATAGGGTAAAAGATGGGGTTCTAGAACTTCGTGGATATAACGCTGCGCGTTCATGTTACCTCTGATGAAGATTAAAGGTGACCTGGAACCATAAGCTATAGCACCCCAAACCATAACTCCCACAGTGTGATGAACATGTCTTTCAACAAAAAACTGTGGATTCCTCCTTTCACCACGTCGCCTTCTAACCGTGGCACGACCATCGTGCATGCCTAAACAAAATCGAGACTCGTCACTAAAGACAATACTGTTCCATTCCTGATCCCAGAGTGACCGTTGTCTGCACCACTCAAGGCGATTACGTCGGTGTTCTCGAGTTAAAGGGAGGACCCAGAGTGGCCGGTATGAAAACAAGCCAAAACTTCTCATTCGTCGGTAAACACTTCGCACGCCAATAGGTCTTCCGTGTTCTGCAAACCATTCATTTGCAATGGACCTGGTAGTGGAGAAACGGTCCCTTAAGGCCAATAATCTTAGGCGGCGATCTTCACGGTCTGTTGTTCTACGGCGGCGTCCAGTGCCCCTTGCTCTTTGCGTACGGCCTTCTCGAAGCCATGCCTGACAACACCTAACCACAGTGTCTACACTTCTTTGCACTCTAACTGCAATTGCCCGAAAAGAAAGTCCAGCTTCCCGAAGTCCCACTATACGGCCCCTATCAAACTCACTAACTTGACGAAATCGTACAGGTCTCCGTACTCTAGGCATCGTAACCGATCGTAAAGGATGTCAAGAACCAAAATCCGCCAACGTTGATTCTTTACTGCGGCTGAAATATTCATTTTTAGAGCGTTAGTGAATTAAAAAAAGGCAGTATAAAAACCGGAATATTCAACTGATAAGGCTGAAAATTTTTTCACTTATTTACAGTAAGATAAATATATTCACCAACTTTTATTAAAATAAAACCATTTAAACTGGGTGTTCGGATTTATATGTCACTTAGTATACTAGTCAGATCCTTAAATGTTTGGAATTATGTAAGTCACACGTTTATGTGGATGATACCCAGCTGTACTATTCTTTTCCTAGTTCAGATTGGCCAGCTGCCGAGTTGAAAATAAACAGTGACTTGACTAACCTCTCTAAAACATTGCAAGAGCATTCATTGATATTAAATCCAAATAAATCAGCTGCTGTGAGGAGTTGGTGGTTGCCTGGAATGAGATACCACAGGAGGACATTGACCACCTGATCAGAAGCATGCCTAGTCGCGTTGGAGAATGCGTAGCACATCAGGGTGCATCCATACATTATTAAAGGTCAAAGGGCTTTAAAGCAGTGCAATCATTTTGAAATTTTTATCATTTACTTATTATGCTTCATTAAGTACTTATACAAAATTTTATTAAAATAAAACCATTTAAACTGGGTGTTCGGATTTATATGTCACTTAGTATATATATATAGTGAAGAGCAACGGTCCAAGTATAGATCCTTGCGATACACCTGTGGTAGTGAGCTTTGAACTAGATATTTCATTCTTCAGTTGTACACACTGTGATCTGCCACTTAAGTATGAATTAAAAAGTTTTACGCTGTCAGTAGACAATCCACATGACTTTAAGATAGACAGCAAGACATCATGGTTAATTGTGTCAAATGCCTTGCTGAAATCTAATAGTATTAAAGCGGTAGACTCACCCAGATCATTCGACTGAATGATATCATCAGCTATCTTAGCAAGTGCAGTGGTGCAACTGTATCCTGGACGAAAACCTGACTGTGTTTTAGGAAGGATACTTTGACTGTCAATATGTGTTCTTAATTGTATTTCAATAATTTTTTCAACCAATTTCGAGAGACCAGCTAGAATACTTATTGGACGAAGATCTGATAGCTGTTCAGCTTCCTTACATTTTGGAATTGGCACTATTAAGGCTACTTTCCAGCACTTTGGATATTTTCGCTCAAAAAAATTGTATTAATAAGATGTACCAAATACGGTAAAATATACGGGACACACAATTTGACGAGATGTATGCTAATGCCATCATTTCCTGGTCTGGTGTTTTTTATCCTACTTAATGCGTCAAATACGTCTTGCTCAGATACCAATTTGAAATTGAACTCTAAATTACATATTTTTTGTTTTGATTATAATATAAAGCAATATGATTACCAGACGCCACACGAGGTATGCTGTCAATAAAAAAGTTATTTATATGTTCCACATCTTGCAAATCAATAGGAATAT